TGCTTGCAAAAAAGTCACATTAATAAAAAAACATGTTTATTGGGATAAAAGCACACTAAAATGTTGAAGAATTTTTGTGAGAGGTTTTGTTTTTTTTACAAAAATATAAATAATAGTAACTCGCTGCAAAAATATGGAGAACTGAATTTAAGATTGGAAAAATGAGAAGCTGATAGAACCAAAACTGACAGAGTCTTCTAAGTCCATTCCTCTGCAAAGCCCACAAGCGGGACTCCTGCTCTTCTTGTCTGTTGTTGTTGTTTAGTCGTTTAGTTGTGTCTGATTCTTCGTGACCCCATGGACCAGAGCATGCCAGGCACTCCTGTCTTCCACTGCCTCCCGCAGTTTGGTCAAACTCATGCTGGTAGCTTCGAGAACACTGTCCAACCATCTCGTCCTCTGTCATCCCCTTCTCCTTGTGCCCATCTTTCCCAACATCAGGGGCTTTTCCAGGGAGTCCTCTCTTCTCATGAGGTGGCCAAAGTATTGGGGCCTCAGCTTCACGATCTGTCCTTCCAGTGAGCACTCAGGGCTGATTTCCTTCAGAATGGATCGGTTTGATCTTCTTGCAGTCCATGGGACTCTCAAGAGTCTCCTCCAGCACCAGAATTCAAAAGCATCAATTCTTCAGCGATCAGCCTTCTTTATGGTCCAGCTCTCACTTCCATACATCACTACTGGGAAAACCATAGCTTTAACCATACGGACCTTTATTGGCAAGGTGATGCCTCTGCTTTTTAAGATGCTGTCTAGGTTTGTCATTGCTTTTCTCCCAAGAAGCAGGCGTCTTTTAATTTCGTGGCTGCTGTCACCATCTGCAGTGATCACGGAGCCCAAGAAAGTAAAATCTCTCACTGCCTCCATTTCTTCCCCTTCTATTTGCCAGGAGAATTCAGAGGTATCTGATCTTGGAGATAGCATGTGAGAGAGCCAGCATAGTGTGGTGGTTAGAGAGTTGGACCTGTGTTTTCCTGAACATATGAATAGTCCAAGTGTGGATTGGGGCCAGGGTTCACATGCAAGACTCACCCTGTAGGGTCCTCATGTGAGTCCTACTCCTCATCAACCATGACCTTCCCTGTGCTTCTACATGCATTCACTTGAATGTGAGAAGATCCCTCTGAGCTGTTCGAAAACCTTGCTTACCCAATTGTACAACAGCATTATTTACATTCAAGTGCATCCATGCAGAAACCCTCTGCAGACTTTCTCCTCTCAGGACAAGGAGGAGTGGAGGACTAAGGGTGCATGTGTGATACACACAAAGAAGTGGGGTTGCAGGTCTTGGGGGAAGGGCTCACTGGTGGAGCACCTGCCTTGCAGTCAGAAGATCCTGTGTTCAATCCCTGGTGTCTCCAGGCAGGGCTGAGAGAGACGTCCTGTCTGAAATCCTAGAGAGTCGCTACCAATCAGTGTTGACAACACTGATCCAGATAGACCAATGGTCTGACTCAGTATTAGGGGGCTTCCTCTTTTCCTTGCCATGTGTGCCCATGCTTTGAACATCGGCACATCTTGGGGCGGGATTCCGAGTGCAGAAATTGGGGATTCAGTCTCGAGCAAGATGTTTCTGCACATGCTAATTGTTCTAAAGGGAGAAATATTTTGGACAAAGAAAAGAGAGAAAATGCAAAGGTGGTGGTGGGGAGATTATGATGTACTTGGATGGAAGATCTGTTGAATTTACAGCGGTCTGACAGGCACCAGATGGAGTGAGCAAGGAGGCTTGTGTCTCTAAAACAAAGGCTGAGAAGGCTGGTGCAGGAGCTGACAGTTATACCCAGAGAAAAATACAGTGCGGCAAGGTTACTTGGTAACCAGGGGGAACTGGGAAACTGTTTTGGAAGAGACTTCGCAAAACGCATGCAGAGATCCAGAGGGGTTTTTGCAGCTGCTTACATGGAGTTGAACACATGCAACATTTGCCAATGTAACTGTGGTTAGAATTGGGGTTGGGGAGCTAGCTGGTCATCAAAACTAGCTACTGATGTCACACAAGCTCACACTGTGCGCTTGAGAGCCAGGAGTGTCGTGCTAAAACCTGAGAGACTGGGGGTTCAAATCCCTACTTGGCCTTGAAGTGCACTGGGTGATGTTGGACCAGCCGCTGCTCAATGCACCTCACGGGGTTGTTCTGTGGATTAAATAAGGTGGTAAAGGTAAAGATATAGGTACCCCTGACCGTTAGGTCCAGTTGTGGATGACTCTGGGGTTGCAGCGCTCATCTTGCTTTATTGGCCGAGGGAGCCAGCGTACAGCTTCCAGGTCATGTGGCCAGCATGACTAAGCCGCTTCTGGCAAACCAGAGCAGTGCACAGAAACGCCGTTTACCTTCCCGCCAGAGCGGTACCTATTTATCTACTTGCACTTTGATGTGCTTTTGAACTGCTAGGTTGGCAGGAGCAGGGACCGAGCAACAGGAGCTCACCCCATCATGGGGATTCGAACCGCTGACCTTCTGATCGGCAAGCTGTGGTTTAGACCACAGCGCCACCCGCATTTGGCAAAATAAGGAGGTAGGGGAGAACAATATAGATCACATTAAACACCTTGGAGAGAATAGATGGGCTAAAATGCAATAAATAAATATTCACCCCATCCAACCGATTTAATAAGCAGATAACTTAATTTAGATTTATTGATTAGAAATCCATTTTAAAATTACATTTTTATCCCATTTATTTCAGTTTCTGCTCTACAACAACCCAGGTACCAGTTGTGAGTTCTGCAGTGTGTCCTGCAGTGCTTGGGTTGACAGGTCCCAATGGAGGAGGAGGAGGAGAAAGAAGAAGAAGAAGAGGAGGGGATGATTGTTGGGATTCAAGGTTGGAAGAAGGAGGTTCCCCACATTGTGCCTTGACTTTGGCCATTTGGGGAGCAGGGAGGCTGACTCCTTTCTCTGACCTTGGAGAGCCTTAGTGGAGGCTGGTGATGCTGCTCAGGAGGCAGCAATGATTGATCAGAAGCATGAAGAGCTAGGTGCAATATCATCCCCTAGAAGCAGGCATGGCCTCCACAGATGGGAGCAGACTCACCTGCCCTGGAGGAGCAAGCATTTACAACCCAAACACACTTGCAAAGTGAATGTTGGAAGATTCAGGAAAGATAAAAGGAAGCACTTTTATGAAACTTACTCTCAGAGGAGGCAGTGATGCCTGCTAACTTGGATGGCTTTAAAAGAGGATTCATGGAGGAGAGGGCTACCAATGGCTCCTAGCTGTGATGGCTATGCTCTGCCTCCATAGTTGGAAGATGTAAGAGCCAGTGTGGTGTAGTGGTTAAGAGCGGTGGACTCGTAATCTGGGGAACCGGGTTCGCATCTCCGCTCCTCCACATGCAGCTGCTGGATGACCTTGGGCCAGTCACACTTCTCTGAAGTCTTTCAGCCTCACTCACCTCACAGAGTGTTTGTTGTGGGGGAGGAAGGGAAAGGAGAAGGTTAGCCACTTTGAGACTCCTTCGGGTAGTGATAAAGCGGGATATCAAATACAAACTCTTCTTCTTCTTCTGAATACCAGTTGCTGGAAACCACAGGAGAGCAGAGGGCTCTTGTGCTTAGATCCTGCTCCCTGGTTTCCCACAGGCATCTGGGAGGCCACCGTGAGAATAGGATGCTGGACTAGATGGGCCATTGACCTGACCCAGCAGGTTCTTCCTACGTTGTCATCAGTGAGAGCATCAAATGTCATCTTTAAAAGCTTGGCTGGTAGGCTGTGGAAACTGTTGGGACAGCTTCATTGTTTCCTTCCAGTTCTGATCATCTTGCCTCACTCTCGAACCCCTAAATCAGGCCTCCTGAGCTCTGTGTCTGCTGCCAAGTCTGTACCGTTACTGGGTCTGAATATAATTTCTTTCTTACTTACATATTAGCAAGCCTCTGTCTGCATGTGCTGGGTGCGAGACAGGACAGTACCAATCACAGAGCTAATGGTTTCCCGCTGTCACCCTGATCCCAGTGGTTTCTGGGTGACTGGGTTTTTTTTTATGTGAGGATCTACAGTGCAGAAAGCCCCCACCCGCTCACTTCTTCTACCCTCTTGTCTTAGCAGGTGACACAAAATTGTCAGCCAAATTGCACTCCCGCAGTTCCACGGTAATAGAAAAGAAACTGCCGTGTTTTGCATGCCACGTTCAGGACATGCCTCTTTCTCCCTCTGGTTTCCTGCCATGCAACCAGTTGAAATGTTTTCCTCCTGCCTCTTTGTTTGCTGAAAGCAGGGTTTTCGCTTCGGCAGCTTGAGATCTCTTTTAACGGGAAGGGCTCGGAAGCGGGAGTTTTGATCTGGGACCGGAAGAGTTCTCGTCTCTCCTTATCCTGTCGCTGTGATCTGTTTATTCTGCGTATCATTTCCAGCCTGTCAGAGAAATGCCACTGATGCGGCTGACAATCTCAACACAAAATGTTCAGCCATCTGATGCGCTCCCTGCCAGCTGTACTGGCAAACTCGGCATGTTCCAAATGCTGCCATCCGGAGCAGTCGGCAGTCGGGGGGGGGGAGTGGCATGGCGGTGGCATAATGATCAGAAAGTTGCAGGGATATTCTGCAATCCCAGTTGAGTAGAAGAGCATCTGTTCCACATGCAGAAGGTCCCGGGTCGAATCCTTGGCCTTTCCAGCTAGGATTTGGGGAGACTGGAGAGCCACTGCTATCCAGTGTAGACAATATTGAGCTACATGGACCAATGTTCTGACTTTGTGTAAGACAGCTCATCCTAATAGATTGCTGGCGGCGAGAAGACAAAGATTCAAACATTCCTAGCGATTCTCCTTGAGCTGCCTCAAGAGGGGTGTTCACACACTACGTTCAACAAGTGTGTAATCTGTGAAGCTGTGTATGCAGATAGTGGGGTTTTGTCAAGGAGCTGTCAGGCAAGCGCAGGTCATCCACAGGGCAGGAAGAACATGAGGCACGAAATGCAATTAGCTTTTATTTGCAGAAAGTAACAACACAGCAGGCTCAACTCATTCAGCTCGAGATGTTGCTGAAACTGAGCACTGGCCCTGCCTTTTCCCCTCTGTCCTCTCTCTCTGGATCCCTCCCAAGCAGACGAATGCTGTGTTGAGGGGCTGGGCTCCTCCTCTGGGCCTGTCTGGCTCATTGCTCAGCAATCGTACAGGATTCTCCTTGATTGGGGTGCCAGAAGGGGTGGAGAGCCAGCAGGACTGGGACTGTCCTGCTGCTGTGTAGCAAGGGCAAGCTCTGACTCTTCTCTGTCTGAGTCTACACTCACACTATGACCCTCACCCTCTAGTTCTGTCCTGGAAGGACCTCCTTCTTCTGACCTCCTTTGATAGCTCAAACCTCCTGCTTCTAGCACCTCCCAGCTCGTCCGTTCCATAGGCTGCTCTCCAGTGTCCCACCACCACAATCCAGGGTCTAACTTGTCTTCTGTGCCATCTCTGGGGGCTCTAGGGCAGGTGTTGCCCACCACTCTTCCTCACCCAGCCAGTCCCTGACAGGTGTACAGTTATTCCCATGTAGCATTCAGCAAGCACACAGCCTGTGAATCTGTGTGCAAAATAGTTGAAATCAGCAAGTGCACACACTTTAACACAAACGCTTGTAGCTTGTACCTATGTTCACTGTAACATGAGAACAAGCCTTGTAAATGATGTCAAGCTGTGGTCGGGAAACTCAACTCAGATACATGAACAGGTGGGCTTGGCTAATATGAACTATGCCCCCCAGGGAATATAGCTCACTTTCTCCCCCTCCCATCCTGAGTTCCAATATCAGACACTGCACTGTACTCTTTATCGATGCCCACCTGATACTTGTGAATCCCTGAGCTCTCATCTGCTGCCTCCTCATTTACTAGCAGTGGTAACAAGGAGGTCTGTCTGTAATGCCGCCATTGATCCCTGGCACCTGGGATGCTGAAATGAGAGTGTCCTACATACCAGAGACCCTGGAGGATGCCGTTTTCAGGGCATCCCATGTCCCTGTTGAGTAACTCAGTTGCCCTGGAAACCTGCATCTCTCAGATCAGCTCTAACACAATGTGTTTTATTGGGTCAGTCGACACAGTCATTGTGCATACAGCAATGAAGCGAAGAGAACTCAAGCGATGTTCCTGCATGGGTGAACAGAGACTTAAGGATGCAATAAACCAACCCTGAGAGACCAAGGGGATATTTGTGTGAACCGGGCCCAAGTACTGAGTCACCTAGTGGTCAGCGTCTCCACCCCCATCGTTCAGCCTGGACACTGAGGTCCAGCTCCGAAGGCCTTCTCGCAGTTCCCTCTCTGAGAGAAGTGAGGTTACAGGGAACCAGGCAGAGGGCCTTCTCGGTGGTGGAACGCCCTCCCATCAGATGTCAAAGGAAAAAACAACTACCGTATTTTCCGGCATATAAGACTGTGTGTATAAGATGACCCCCAACCTTTCCAGTTAAAATATAGAGGATATACTCGCCGTATAAGACTACCCCTCTTCCAATGCACACCAAATAAAAATTTTAAAAACCAGTCTCCAGTCTGGCTCGGAAATCTGCTCCACTTCCCAGTGGCTGGGAGGGGCGGCGTGGCTGGGTCTATTTAAACAGAGGAGCGAGCCGGAGGGCTTCCTCTTTTGCTCACTTCCTCAGTCACTAGGATGTTGCTGATCTTTGCTCGGTTATTGCTTTTGTTAGACCTGCTGAAGCATTTTGGGGAAATTTTTTACTGCTTTTGTTGAGCCACTCTTGTGGAATTTGCTAGTGGTCTACTACTGGGAGCGGTTAGGGTCGTTCTGTTGCTGGTGATTGGGGGGGGGGGCTTCTGGGGCCACCTTTCAAGCGTATTTCTGCTTCATCTAGAGAGCTTGGTGTCCTCTGATTTAATTTGCTGTTGTTTTGTTCTTTGGTGGGGAGTTGCAGCAGAAGCTGCTGCTGTAGCCAGCGTATAAGACGACCCCCGACTTTTGAGAAGATTTTCCTGGGTTAAAAAGTAGTCTTATACGCCAGAAAATACAGTATATGACATTTAGAAGACATCTGAAGGCAGCCCTGTTTAGGGAAGTTTTTAATGTTTGATGTTTTATTGTGTTTTTAATATTCTGTTGGGAGCTGCCCAGAGTGGCTGGGGAAACCCAGTCAGATGGGTGGGGTATAAATAATAAATTGTTGTTGTTGTTGTGATTATTATTGCAAGGATGTGTCAACTGGCCATTGGTTCTACCATCTCAGGCCTCCACAATGACCTGCCAAGGATGAGGACGAATGCAAAAAGTAGGAAAGGGTAGCAAGTGCTTTTAACAAGCAGGTGACTTGTGTTTCCCACTGCTCCTTTTTTCTTCCCTACCTTTCAGTTAAAGCATAATAAGGTCCAATAGCATGGAGAGAGAGAAGCTACGTGTTGCACAAGAAACCTCCTTCATTCAATCCCACCCTCCGCTCCCTCAGCAAAGAGAAGCCTGTCTCTTTACCTATCTCATAGTGACTGTCATTGAGTTGTATCTAGAGGGCTTCTCACACACGACGTTCAACAAGTGTGCAATCTCCAGAGCTGTGCATACAAATAGCACTTTGTACTATAGTGGGAGACAGGGCTGAATCAGTCCATCCATATGCTAGAGAGATTTTGCTGCCCTGGGGGTTAGGAAAAAAACACACACTGCCAACATCTCTCAATTCCAGTAGAGTTGTGGGCAGATCTGCTGGTTTTTGCATGCAATGGGTGCCTCTGCCAAAATATGTACAGTGGTGCCTCACAAGACGAAATTAATTCGTTCTGCGAGTTTTTTCGTCTTGCGAAGCACCACTGTATATGCTTTTCTTTTTTAAGGACAAAGCATTAACGGTTTTAAGAAAAAGGAAACAAACTTGCAAGACGTTTTTGTCTTGCGAAGCAAGCCCATAGGGAAATTCGTCTTGCGAAGCAACTCAAAAAATGAAAAACTCGTCTTGTGAGTTTTTCGTCTGGCGAGGCATTCGTCTTGCGAGGCACCACTGTATTTATGTATGTATTGCCTTGCTTTTTTCACCTGGCGGCTCAAGGTGGTATAAATGGTTTTCCCTCTCCCAATTTAATCCCCAAAACAACCCTGTGGGGTAGGTTAGGCTGAGAGACAGCAACTGCCCCAAGGTCACCTAGTGATCTTTGTGGCCTGAGTGGTCTCTACCAGGTCCTAGTCCAACCACTCTAACCATTATACCACATTGTCTCTCATTTGTTCTGCTAAGCTTGGTCTTTGCCAGCCATTTGCTCCTCTGAATTAGTTTTCCTGGAGCTGAATTCCAAAATTTCCACCTGCGCTCTTTAAATGAGAGAGTGGCCCTGTGTTTATGCATTGCTTTGCTGTCGTTATTTTCTAATCCTGGTCTGTCCCCAAAGGCTCAGGCTCTCTGGGGTGCCTGTCAAATCTCGAAGCCTCTGGCAGCGAGACAAGAACACAAAGTGCAGCTTTCTTGGGGAGTGACCAGTTATATATAAACAGCTCTCCCAATCGATAGTTAATGGCTTATTGAATTGAATCAAACAGTATCCAAATGTGTATTTTAAGAAGGCAGCGACCTTGGGTTGCATCTCCTCCTTGGCTGATGTTATCTGCTGTGTCAGTGGCTCTCACATCAGATCAATACCCGACGTTCTCCTTCAAGGGCTGTTGTTATTTAGAAAAGTGATATTGCAAAATATGACAAGACCCTCCTAGCAGATGACTCGACACTTCCGACGTTGTGGCGAGAAGTTGGGGGGGATGAGACGAGTCACTCTGATGGGTGAGGAAAAAAAGACACATACTTTCCAGGAAGCAATTTTGGACTCAGCAGGTTATAACACTTTGCTATAAGGACTTACCAAACAAACACGCCACGCCACACAATGCCACGCCACATGTGAGGTAGTTAGGCTGAGGGGCAGTGACTGGTCCAAGGTCACCCACTGAGCTTCAAGGCTGAGTGAAGATTTGATCCCTGGTCTCTCAGGTCCTAGTTTGATGCTCTAACCCAAGGTTTCCCAAACTTAGGTCTTTAGCTGTTTTGGGACTACAGTCCCCATCACCCCTGTCTTGCTAGAGAGGAATGATGGGAGTGACATTGCTGACATCGCTGGGGCCTGCCCCCATGACATTGCCAAGGGCTTCCCCTAGGGCTCAGAAGGTTTGGGCCCTGAAATTTCAGTCTGGGATGCTCTTGAAACAGGGGTGGTGAACAGTTGTTCACCTGACCAAAGTCAAATGATGGGACCCCTACCTGTGTTTAGTAATGAAGTAAGAGCAGCAAAATCTCAGCTAAGAAGCTCAAATATAGGTAGATAGATAGATAGACAGATAGATAGATGATAGATAGAGTATATATATATATAGCATATGACTGACACACGTCTTTGGAAATTAAACCAATATCCAGACTTTAACATTCAAAAACTTTACTTGCAGGCACTTATAGTTATCGATGAATTAAAACATAATATTTACATAATATTTAATAATATTTACAGTTTATATTTACAGTCACATGCTTCTCCAAGCATGGGCTTACAGTCTCTTCTTCCAACTTCCAAACAGCTGTAGTTTCCTCTTTTTCCACAGTTCAGCATTCAGCTTTCTGTATCACAAGCAGGCCATGCCTTGCAGCTCCTATGAGAGATTTCCACTTTTACCTTCTCCTGCAGCTTTGCTTGCTTTCTGTGAAGCAGAGAAGCAGCACTCCAACACTCCATTCAACTTAGCAGTGTTCACAGTGGATTCTAAAGCACAGTCATCTTGCGTCACATAAAATGGAGTCTCTCCTTCACTAGATACCTCCCATTTAAACACATAGTAAAGCATACAAGAAGGGACGTGAGTGGCGCTGTGGGTTAAACCACAGAGCCTAGGACTTGCCGATCAGAAGGTCGGCGGTTTGAATCCCCGTGACGGGGTGAGCTCCCGTTGCTCGGTCCCTGTTCCTGCCAACCTAGCAGTTCAAAAGCACGTCAAAATGCACGTAGATAAATAGGTACTGCTCCGGCGGGAAGGTAAAAATTCTGAATTTTTTCAGCAGGAGATCATACAAACCTATTCAGCCCTTGGCATAACTTCATATGATCACGACCAAACTATTAATCTATTTGCCAATCTGTTGAATGACCTCACGTCATTCTTTTCTGTCCCAACCCACCAGGCAAATTGGGCCCACCCCAAGACAGGTGCACCGTGGTTTAACCGTAATTGCAAACAAGCCAAACAACATCTTTGTGCTATTTATAATGATTACAAATCCTCAGGGGCGACTACGCTTCCCAAGGAGTACTATCAGGCAAAATCAGCTTACAAATATGTACAGAAAAAGGCCAAACAGGAATGGCAATTGAACCGCTGGCAAGCACTTATAGCTGCCTCAAGTACTCGTAATTCCCGAAAATTCTGGCTGTTGGTTAACAGAAAATCTAAAAGATACCCCTTAACAGTTATTCCTGCCCCAATTTGGGAATCCTTTCTAAGGAATTATTTTGCCTTACCAGACCTTAATATTAATACAATCGATGGAGTCTATGAGCAGCTCCCTCTTTGGCCACCCACTGACCCGGAAGAAATCCACGGACTTATTTCTAATCTTAAAATCGGAAAAGCCCCCGGTCCTGATCTAGTCCCGGCAGAAGCTATAAAGCTTCATGCTGACTGGTGGGCGAAAATCTTGGCCGCTACCTTTGATGCCGTAAACAACAGTGGGAAGGTACCAAGAATATGGAAGGATGCGATTATTGTTCCAATTCATAAAAAGGCTCGACAGATGACCCGGGAAATTACAGGAATATCAGTTTATTGTCATTAATCGGGAAAATATATGCACGGTTCTTGTTAACTAAGCTTACTAAGTGGGCCGAAGAGAACAACCTGATTGGGCCTGAACAGGCTGGTTTTAGACCGAATCAGTCAGCGGTTGATCAGATCTCAGTTTTATACCACCTTGCCCGGAAATACTCCTCCCCAAATAGAGGCCAACTTTGTGCGGCCTTTATTGATTTAAAGGCTG